TACAACCAAAACAATAATCTAAAAGAGGCTAAAAAGCACTGTAGTGCTGCAGAGTTTGGTTATAATTCTCTGTGACTTTGTCACTATGAGCAACCCTTATATTACACAGTCATCTGATGCATTGTGATTATTATAGCCCATATTGATTTGTAGAGCTTTAAATGAACATTAACACCCACTTTGTATATTTTAAACCAACTATTGCAAGTATGTGTATGACAAATTTTACCGAAGACTCATTTGTTCCTGTCTCACTTTGCTCTGCCGACAGACTCCATTGTCAAACATCCTTGGCACTACTGTATTATCAGTAATTGAGTAAGTCGTTACGATACTTACCAGACTTTAAGATTTTACATTTCAGTTAATTCAAGTAATAAAAAATAGTATATGGAAATAAGCACGCAAGTTGGATTCATCCCCAGCATTTCATCTCTCTATACTTGTCATTTAGTTGTGTTCGGGATTGACTATGTTAAAACTGCAGCCGCCAATGATGTGTAATTATGGTAGATGTCTGACTAACTGCAAGTAATTAAGTGAAAACGAGTATAATAAGAAAATGTAACAACATTGTTAACATGAAAATACAAGCCCACAACAATTAAGAGAGGGTAAAGGCTCGACTTGCACTTTCTGACCGTGCTAAACAGAGAGATGATGCAGGACTCTACATCAGCAGCCCTGTTCTCTCACAGATTTGCTTGGGCATTTCACCTGGTCAGCTCTTAGACATCAAAGCAAGTCTGGAACATAAGTGGAAGTGGCATGATGTCATTGCCAGACAATGTCCTCATGCACTCATATGCCATTCACTCATTCAGCACCACTGTGCTACTTTAACATTGGCCAGACGAGTGAACCTCAGTATCAGCAGTTCCAAATGTGGATCTCTTTGGAAAGCAACAGTGGAAAGATGTGAGACAGTGCCACTGCTCAGATAAAAGAGTTATTTTCACATAAGATCCGTGTGCCAGCCTGCTCTCCTTTATTGTGGGCTATTCTAAGAGAGGCCATGAGGGTGTGCTGGTAGTATGTGTTGGGGCTTGGGCATTAGATAATTGCAGACATGCTGTGGATGAGGATAGGTAGCTGTGGCCATAAAAGCATGACATGCGGTTAATGATGTCATGCCCTCTAAGATAAGGTTCATGTTGCCATCCTAAAAGAGAAATACTATTACGGGAAGCATTATTACACATTTGCATTTGGATGAAGGTCTGGCAGAGATCCAGATACTTCGTGTGGGTTGTGATGTAGCGGTCTTTTGACCGGGGTCAGCTTCCGTATATCTTGTATCCAAGGCCTGCTTTTGGACTGCACACACGTCAAGACTCAAATAAATGAATGGTGCACAGCGGTGGCACCTCTACTACCTATGCCTAAAGCCCATTCTTGGCTCTCAGAGGGGGTTGGTGAGGATTCCTGTGACTATATGTAGGGACACAGTCCAGGAGGTTTAGCTATCTTGTTTGTCTAGCAATGTAGATCTGTCAGTTGTTCTGTTGGTTGGTTCACCACTTTGGTCCAGACTGAAATATCAAACTACAGTATTGGATGGTTTACCATTAAATTTTGTCCCCACAGTATCAAGCCTACTGAATTTGGTTATCTCTTGAGTTATACTCTAGCAACACCATGATTACTGTTTTTAGTTTTTTAGTGAAATGTCTTGACAACTATTGGAATGATTGCCAGTTGGTGTAAACATTAATTTTCCCTTTAAAGATGAACTCTAATAATTTTTATGTTCCTTAACTTTTCATTTAGCGCCATCATCCAATCAATTTAATATTTTATTCAATATTTTATTTAAGGAATTTATACCTACAAAAGTAACAACATTCTTATCAGTCTCCGCTGTACTTTGTGTTTAGCGATAATTAGCAAATTTTAGAATGATAACAGGAATGAACATATGGTAGTAAGCATTTTGTATGCTAATCATCAGCATGTTAGCATTGTCATGACTCACAAACCCGCTATAATGACTGTATGCTTCAACACAGCCCAATCACTGCACGTAAAAGGGAACAAAATACACTTTAATTGTAGAGATTATGCTTGGTGTGGTTACATGCATATAGTGCCAGTGAAATGTGGGATATTGCTGCCTATGTAAACAGCTGTACTGATTGAAATAAAGCTTATCTGTCTATTGTCAGATGTGCATGAGACAGATGACAGAAAATTGTGGCTGAAACACCTCCTGCATAGACACGCCGTTAGTCTATTCTATATTGCCCTAAACTCCACCCTTAATATGTCTACACCTGTATCACCAATGGACCACTGCATACCAGACATAATGTATCGTCATGATCCCTGCTGGCCCTGTCAGAATGGATTGCTGAGACTATGTCTGTGGATAACATACCACCTATAAAAAGGCACCTACTTGACACTAAGATTCAGTAAGGGCTGCCTATACTACACATAAGAGCTGGTGATAAAAGACCAAACACATGCATGCACACACACTCACAGATGTGGTCTTGTTGACACTTCAGAAAGGTCAGCTATCAATAACAGTCTAAATCTGTACACCTTTAATGTAGACAGAAGAAAGGACCTGTTATGTGTATCAAGACCAAAATAACATTGCAGCTTTAAAACTGTTGATTAGTTATTTGTGGTAAAGGTAACTTAATTAATTATGACTAAAATGGCATGTTAATTAACCATATTAAGAAGTCCCTTCATTTTGCAGCATTAAACAGTGAAACATGGTCAGTAATATTCACCATATCAACTGTCAGGAAAATCAATTAAAAATATAATTAGAGTGAAGACTTTTTGAATTTTATAAATAAAATTGGGTAACATACAGATTAAAAGCACTGCATCATTTACATTTTATTAGGTAAAGAATGTCATTTATCAATTTAATTATGTGCAAGAGGTTTAACTGATGGGGAAGCTCACATTGTCAGGCAGTATGTGGAAAATATTGACATAAGAAGATTTTTTACTGTTGAAAAAAGGGTTAATTATTTAGATTTACATTAAGCAGTGCAAGTTATGCTGCTGTTTAGTTGATGTTATGAGCTAGCTTTGCATTATCACAAAGCTATTAATGATACTATAGAGCTAAACAGGTGAATACAGAATTGACACTATTACAAACACAGAGTTGATATTTACATAAGCTCAAATAAGGATTGTATTTGTCACATTTTCAGAAGAATACATGCACTGCTAAAGTGTTATTTTCATAAGGTCAGCCACATCTTTGCCTTGTATATGATGATTCTATATCAAGTCACTAGGGAATCTCTAACAGCCCTCTAAAGGTTTTAAGAATTCATAAGCAATAGGGCTTTTGCCTTCGCTTTCTCACTCCATGTCTTTAGATATGTCTCTGATGTTGAACTGAGACTTCACATTTGTAAATAGTTCAAAGGATATACAGATAGATAGATTTTGGTCTGAACCTGTTGGTTTATCAGCTTCTTCACAACACCAGACTATACACGGAGGACAGGCTACTCATGCTATTTCCTTTGAAACAAAAGCAAAACAATGTGATAAATGTGTAAAGGGCATTTTTCCTGCCATGGTCACAGGATACCTAGCATTCGCTACCATTCCTGTCTGTAAATAATTCAACAGCTTGGTGTGTGAGTGAAAGAGGGACACCAACAAACACAGAGGGGGCAAATTCTCCAGTTAAGCTATCAAAAATCAAGACACGGTTCAGTGGCTTTGCTTAATGAAGACAGAGGTACAACAAATACAGCTTTGTTACAGGGTAACACTTCAACACACAAAACCATTATTCAGTTTATGATGTTTACCCAGCAAGGCAGAAGACCTCACAGCAAAAAATGTCAGTTTTAATTTAAAATGCTGTGTATTAAAACAAACACCATGCCAGAGCGGATATAAATCCGCACACATCATAGTTAAACACTTTCAGATCGTTACAGTGCTTTGCTGCCACAAAATCATGTCAGCTCAACAACTGACAACTGAAAAATCAGCACTTGCAGTGTTAACCCAGAAACATTTGCTGTGTAGATGCACCACAAGGATTAATGATTGGTAACTAATTACAGAAACTCATTTATCTAAAACACCACATAGCACTGTAGCTCCTGGCTATTAGAATTTGTAATCATATCCTCTACAAATGTACACACCAGGTAACAAATAAAAAATAATTCACTTATTTTGTCTTAAAATCTACAAGGAAGTATAGCAAAAACCGAGAAAGTGTCTTCAAACTAAATATATACAATATGCTACTGTACTCTCAGCTACAGTAGCATATTGTATACATTTAGTTTGAAGACACTTTCTCGGTTTTTGCTATACTTCTTTATAGATATATATAAAAAATGATGTATATGCTACTTATCATATATCTAATTGTTTAACCGATACATCCTACATATGCTCCAGATCTCTATTCATTATTAGCTTGCATTTTTAACAGTGTATTGTGATTATAATGAAACCGTGTGTAGCTGGCTTACTTGAGATTTCTCTTTTCCAATTATGCACTAGAATTTGAAAACCTATCTTCAAAACACAAGTTAGGCCAGTCTCAAACCGTCCACTATATCTACAAGGAAGTAAGTCACTTATATATAGCTCAAAGATTCCCTTTGAGTTTGATGACAACATGATATGCTGCCTGGGAAACACTGAGACACACATTTTGGCACAGCTCTAACTTATTCCTAGCATGGGGCTGAGGATCACTCACTATAAGCCTGGATGTATCATGGCCTAAACATTAACACATAGCCTGTAACCCCCATTACCTTTCAGCAGATCACAGCTGAGGTCAGTAGTTTGTGCGTTTCTGCTGCAGCAAGGAAGGTAAAGTGGCACTTTGCTGTCAGCAGTGAGCTGCACACAGGCCCACTGTGTCCTCTGCAAGCACTGATTGAACCGCGGTCGTTACCATGGCTACACAAAGACCCAATGAGAAGCTCGCGGTAGACTGTTGCTGAATGAAAATAACAGAGGCCATTTTGCGCACGGAGCCACGGCATCATTCAATAATAATAAAAACGGAAACGGGAGGCAGGTTCAGTCCATTTCTGGACAGACACGAGTGTTTTTTAGAGCGGGGAGAGTGGTGTGAGACGGTGCGACTGGCGCATGTAGTCAAAAAAAAAAAGAAGGCATGCGGTAACTAACGTGCCGCCGCGTCGCCTCTTCCTTGGAGGTTTGTGTCGTCAGGAAAGGGGAGAGGACAGCTTCACCGCATTGCTATCCAAGCCCCTGTGACCCCTGAGAGAGGGAGTTGCCTTCAGTAAGCTGACCGACACCGGCAACATCCATGCGCGTCGAAAAACAGGTGTACGGTTTCATCACACGGACACCGCACTAGCTTCCGACCGGCGGAAGCTCGCTGTGTTGCTGTGTTTGTGTGCTACTTCTGCGCTTGTCCGTGTGATGACTTAAGTCATTTAACGTGGAAGACAGCTCAATACCTGACGATAGGGTGCGGGTGTGTCGAGCGAGACGGCAGTTGTTTTAAGGTAAGTCACACACTGTGTCAGCAGTGTTGTTGTTGTGAGGTTAATAATAAATTTCCCTCCGCGTTGCTTTTAGCAGCTGCAGCGGGTATGACCCAGAGCTGAATTTCGAGCTGTTATAGGAGGTAAACAGGTTATTTTGAGTGTTTGGGTTTTTTTTAAAGTGCCTTACAGACAACAATGACCCTATAGTCGTAATCGGACTGACCAGGGCAAATGAATCAGCTCATCCGGGATGCGTTGAAGTCGCCACTAAAGTGTATTCCAGTGGACTGCTGTTTCCAGTGCATTAAAGGAAGATGCGGTCAGGGCTGGGATGATGTTACATACTCAAACCACAAGCTTCCAAGCAGTTGGAGGGAAAAAGAAATTGCTTAACATTTGTAGGAGTGTAAAGACCGTCAGCATGAGAGGCGTACAATAACAAACAGGATGCTTGGTAGGAATAAGTATGAATTTGAGATAACCATGTTTAACCTACATCCCAAATGCTTAGGATAATCTCTATTGTTAGCTTGCACTTCTGCAGCGCAGTACAGTAATTTATGTGTAATCATGAAAACATATATGCAGGAAGCTTAGTTTGGTCTATTGTGTAGGTTTATCTTCCCAAATGCTTTACCAGTTAAGACTAGAGAAAACCGGACTGTGCGTTTTAAACTCCATATATGGAGTCTCAGTCTCTTATTTTACATGCCAACACTAACCCACCAAAATACATCTGAGAGTTGTGTATTGTGAAGTCCCTTGCTTCACATGAGCACTGTGAAGTCAGTATTGTGGTACAGTATTTCCTCACTCCTGCTACCAGTGTTTTTTGCATTCACCTGCCACTAAAGGTTTAAATCAGTCAGTATCTCATTATATGGGCTTGGATTAAAACCAGAGGGACTCTGGAGTGCTACTGTAGTAGTGCATATTATGTCATGTTTTAAGGCTAATCTGTTGCAGATATCATATTCTAGATCTGACAGAAACACTAAGGAATAGTGAACCCTTGTGTTTCTTTGGTAGTACCTGGTATCTGGCATATGGGATGATGTAATGAGGAAAGAAAATAAAAGACCAGCAGCAATGGATGGTATCTGTAAGACCCATTTGAATGCTGGATGAACAGGGAGAGTGGGGGAGGAGCCCAGGATTCATAAAGTGTAACTCGATCAACCTCATACCTCTCCCACTGTGGCCTACCTGGCCTGTGTGTGTGTGTGTGTGTGTGTGTGTGTGTGTGTAAGCTTTACTAGATGGTATCTTTCATGCAGTATTTCATGTATTTCTATGACTGCATGCTTGTGTCTGGGGGAGAGGAAGCGACACAGCGGGGTGCAATCTGACGAGCAACAGTTGGCTGCTCTCGAGGGGCTGCTGCACCAATAAACAGCTCCTTCTCACAGAGGCTTAAATGTACACTTAATGGGGATCATAGCATTTTGACTTGATTGATGACCAATGAGCTAGAAAGTATGTCTCTGTGAGCGTTAACTCAGTTGCACCTGCCAGTTTTGAGTTACTGAGAAAGATTGTGTGTGTGTGTGTGTGTTTGTGTGTGTGTTTGTGTGTGCATGCACATGCATGTTTGTGTGAGAGAAGGAAAGGGGATCATGGCCATCAGGGTATAGCAGAATGTGATGCATTTTCTCTTGAAAGTACAGAATGTAGCAGAGGTTTACTTTCATAGTTCACTTTCTTTTTCTCTCTCTGTCACTCTCTTAAGCTCTCTCTATCTCACGCACACGCCTTTTAATTTCCCTTTGTCTGTTGTTTTGCTGCCCTCTATTTTCCTCATTGTCCCTGTGGTGTGTTTCCCTCCTTCATCTTCCCCCCCTCACTGCCCTTCTTCAGAGGCTGATGTCATGGATCAAGTGGTGTGTGAAAAGCTTGCCTAATTCTTCACTGGTCTCACTGATAATAGAGGCCGCTTGCATGGCATGCTTGCTGCCTGAGCTTTCTCAAAGACCGGGCTGTTTGATAATCACTTTTTACCCTATTCCTTTTATTCAATTTCCTTTTATAAACATTTGATATCGACAGTGGAGATTGATGGGAATGATCAGTGTTTCTGTGTCAGTTTAAGCCCAGGATGTCATAATAATGTTGAATGTATGGATTCATTAAAAAAGTGATTATTTTGAAAGATTAGACAGTCCAACTATAAAAATAGGTACTTATGTCACCTTGTGGGAAAACAAAGCTCAGTCTTATTAAGTTCCACATTTGCAATAACTAACAATGGACACTAGGAGAATCATCTTGCGTCACACACACTGTTTGGACACTGATTGGAAATAGTGGCATTCTGGTGCACAGAAGTGGCAGAGACAGAAAATGAGGATACCAAGGAAAGTGCAGTGTGTGTGTGTGTGTGTGTGTGTGTGTGTGTGTGTTTCATTTAAAATGTGTTTTAAAATAAGTTTTAGACAACCTGAAATTATTGGCTAATATGCCCTGCAGTGCAACTCACAAGTGCATAATTAATAAAATATGAAAAAATAAATTAGTTTACTGGTACATCGGGTACATCTTTTTTTAATCAGTGAGGTGAGGTGCGCCGAGCAGAAAGGATACTAAAGGACAGTACCCACCCCAGCCACAGCTTGTTCACCCTTCTGCCTTCTGGGAAGAGATGTAGAAGTTTCAGCTGCCGCACCACCAGACTGCAGAGCAGCTTTTTCCCCCAAGCTATCCAAAGCTCAAATTCTTTCTCAGCACTGCTCCACTGATCATAGTTTATTTCTGTTTACCATTTTTATAATTACTTCTATTTTAATGTATATTGTATGCTATGTAGCAGAAGGGAGTTACAAACTCACTTTCACTATTTTGTGAGAAATAAATGTACTTTCCTACCTACCTATCTTTACTTAGAACTGTCCTTCCCAGCCAGGATCCTGCATTTGTTTTTAATTATCCTGGCATCTAAATACTATTTCAGTTCAGTGAATGAAATGTATTCATTTCAGTGGTCATAAATGTATTGCATGAGTATAAAACAGGTCATAAGTAGTCAAGGATCAAGACATACTTTAAACTTATTAGCGACACAAGAGAGAGAAAATAGTCTGTTCTGCTAAACTCGGATAAAGTGTTGGAAGACTACCTTGAGCGCACAAGTTAGGTGAGAATTCACAAATTTTGTCTGCTGAGCTTGAGATGGTGTTAGACAAGTGTTTGCTTCCTGGTGCTTGCAGATTGTGGTGAATGGATAAGCACATGCAACATAGTTTTTATCATTTGTGTTCATTTTAAACAGAAACACATGCAGCACCACACTTCTACACGCTGCTGTAGTATTTCCATACCCATCAGAGATCAACCTAGGCAATTCTGAAAGGTCTTAAGGAAAGCTATATGCTTTGTTACATTCTGCCTGCGTTCACTACAACAATCAAAAAGCTAATACTTTACTGTTTAAAATATGTAATGATGTGGAGTAAAATGTGTCCATCTGTTGTGTTGTAAGAGAGTTTTTGTGGGATTCTTCTAATCAATGGCTGTGTAAATTATTATGAAATTTATGGTCAGCTGATTTGAAATGTATTATGAATTACTTCTATAAGCTTAATTCCATCTAAAAACTTGTATTATCTGTAACAACACTATGAGCTCCTACTAGCTCATATTCCTCTGCATTGTGTGTTGCAAAGCAACAAGAAGTTGGCACTGTCTCTGTTGAACAACATATTTGTGGATATATATTTTTTCTTTTTTGATCTGCTCCCAGGTTTAAGTGTTTTCCAGTAAGTGACACTTACTAATGTGTATGCATGGCGCTTCTGCTTTTTATAACCTGCCACTTACTTAACTGGGAATGGCAGGGCCTTGCAGAAGCTGATAATGAATTAGGTGTTGAAACTGTACGGGTGAGATCATGTCGACGCGGCCACTGTAGTCCGGAGTGGCGCATAGGTCAAAGTGTCTATGTGTTTGAGTATGAGTGTGTGTCAGTCGCTATAAAAATACTTTGCTCTGGTACTTTAATGAGATCATTCCCAAGCTACTGCTGTGCCATGTTAGTTTTAATTGTTTGTATAAATCATTCCTTCACATGCAAAACGTGATAGGAGATGCTTATCAAAGTCACATTTTAGTTTGAATGCATGAGGGGTTGATGGACATCTTTTGTAAAGCCTCATGCAGGTTAAAGGGTCATGTCTAAAGTAAAAAGGTGATGATTATAATAGAGAACTAAACTCAGTTGCTTTGGCCTTTCAGTGTTTTATTGGTCTCCTGATACTCCCCTGATTCTGGCCCCAAGGTTACATCATTAGCACCTGTCAGTTGTGAGCTTTTCACCATACCTTCGTGATCCTTGGCACGTGACCACAAATTTCTGGGAGCCAACTGCTGTTTGATCATGCCTACTGGCAAACCATGTCTACTGACACACCAATCACTGTAATTGGCTGTGGGAACCCCAAGGCCTGAAGCTCGGGTGTTTGGGGGTGGACATAGTTACAGCAGTGCTACTTATCATTGGAGCCATCTGTACCCGTGTAAATGGGATTTTTACATTACCACTTCATCAAAAGGCATGATGACAGTGGACACATAGTGTTGATCCAGGACAACTCAACTAAGTCCATCTGTGCTTGATTTAAAGGTTGGCAACATGTTGACACTTGACTGAGCTTGTTCATGAGTTAAATTTTTTACCTTTTGTGGGTTATACCTGGACTTATTGTTTTTGATACACTAGCAATAATGGGTCCTTTTAAGTTGTAGAACTACACAAGGGTTTGTTTTTAGTTATTAGCATGACATCTTAAGACAGGTTGTGGACCGAGGTGATGTCATAGTTAGAATCACAGTTATTTTGGCTATCTGCTTTTTGTAAGGGAAAAATAAGTCACCACTCAGCAATCTTGCTGCTAATGGAGCCTCATCACCGTAAGTTAACAGATTTCCATTGTAGTGACTGCTGAACCCTTCCTGAACCTTACTACACAGTCATTTGTTAGTTGCAGATTTTTGTGCCTGTTTTGTTTATTGTCAAGTATGTGTGTGAAGGGAGGAGGTGGAAATCGTCTGAAAAAGCATCTTGCACAGTAGCTTCCTGGTTGGTTTTAGGTGTCCAGGCTCTAAATATCAGATGCTAATAGCAGTAGTTACATCATCATTCTGGGAATAGCAGGGAGTCTGGGGTCTAGAGGTGCTTCTGGCTGACCCCCTCGTGTGTGTGTGTGTGTGTGTGTGTGTGTGTGTGTGTGTGTGTGTGTGTGTGTGTGTGTGTGTGTGTGGTCATTTCCAAATATACATTCCCATATGGATTAGACAGCAGTAAGATTATTAATGATACAAATGAGTGGACACATAATTAGTCTGTATATAATTACTGTCTAATATGACACTGACTGCACTTAGTTTATTTGTGACAAAAAAGGTAGCAGTTGGTGCGTGTGCTTCTCTCTCCATGCTTGTGCGTGTTCAATTGCACATCTCTGAGCGACCCTTCTTCACAGGCAATCAAAGTGTCAGCAACAGAAAGTGAAAGAAAATCTCATGTGAGAAAAATCTGACACTCCTGTCAGTTTCTGCACGGTGTAGTCCACTTTACATAGCCCCACACTGACGACACTGGCTGCTGTGTGACATTAAAGCCCGGGAGGAGTGATGGGCGTGTGGAGGCTCTGTAACACCCCTCTCTGTTTGCTCCCACAGCTCTCCTAAACCTAGTTCATTTAACCAGGCCTAAATCATCAGAGGTGTACCTATAGTACCTGTACACAATGTGTATGTGACTGTGTTGTTGTGAGTACAGTATGTAATTGTGTATATAATTATGGTCTGTCTTTGCATGCGCGTGTGTGTGTGTGTGCGTGTGCATATTGTGTGGTATGCATGCATGCAAACATGTGTGCGTGTGGTAAAATAGAGATAGTCAGCCCTGTCACTTAGCCCCCACCCATACACTGGGGGGTAACTTTCCAGTCTCATAGACGAGCATGCCTGAGTCTGAAAATAGCCGTATCTGATCACTGCTTCACCCAAACGGGGAACTCTCTTTCTCTGTCACTCCCTCTCTTTGCCTCTCTAACTTTCTCCTTGTTCTGTTGTCTCTGTGCTTCCCAGGCATTAAACTGGGTAAGATCTCGGAATAAAGCTTGACCGGGAGGAGAGACTTCTCCTGAGCAGAGGGAAGAGGAAGGAAACACAAGTCAGGATAGAAGAGGAAGGAAAAGGCACTTGGACTCACAGCTCACCTATACCTTACTCTTCTTAGCAAGTCTCCAGTCTTTTGGTTTTATGACGGTAAGAGTTCTCTGCTTGATGGACTGTTGCACCTGCACTCGGCTGGTTGAGAGGTCAAGGTTTTAGGATTAAATGTCACAAATGATACCGCAGAGTTGAATTTCATTACGAAATAATGCGCTCATGTGCTTTTTCAGGAGAACTGTTTTATTTAAATTTCAGTTAAAAACCGTCTTTAATGTCACATTTCAAAACACACACAACCAATCACTTAGTGCTGTCTACTATTAGTGATGTGTCCATATTTACTTGCTATGGACACATTGATGCTTTAAAGGGAATGCAAATTAAAACGGATCTGAATAGATTTTACAACCCAAACTCCAAAAGGGAATTGTATTTATCTGCTCTGCCAGAACGCAAAATTATAGACCAAGAGTGGAATTTTTGTTTTTTGTGACAGTGGACAGGGGAAATTGTGTCAAATAAAACAGTGGCTGCTACCGTGGTCACCTCCGAAATAGCATCAGCCAATAACTTAGATTACAGTTTTGTGGACTGAAAAGTTTACATCAACCTAAAAGGTTAATTAAGGTTTGATGTTTGTAATTTTTTAACTGAAAAGGGAACATTTAATGTATACAGCAAAAAATAATCTGTTGAATTTTTGACTAAATGTGGAGAAAGGTTTTATTTTATTCCCCTTCCTCTTTCAATTCCCCTCTTACCCTCCAATAATTTTGCTTCAGAAACTCATTTTCCTCCTTCTGTCCTTTTTTACATACTTCCATCTCTTGTTACACACTTTTTCGTGGTATCTTCTTTCCCACTCAACAAAAGCCATGCACCAATCCCTCCATTAGGCCAGTCTCAGAGGTGTTGTGGAATGTCACCTTGACCCCTTGGGTACACAGTAAGGGGTGGTTCCCAGCCTGGGCTTGTAGCATGGGTTTGCTTGGTTACCTTCCTCCTGGTCCTGACATACAGTGAGGCATTTTGTCTGTTCCCTGTAAACGTCACAACGCACCCCATTTTTCCACGGTGTGATTATAAATACATATAAAGGATTCATTCCAGTCCCACTAAAACTTTATTTGTTTGCAGATCTCTACAGTGTCAGAGACCAAAATAAATCCCTCTCAAACGCAGATTTATTTATTTATGTCTAGAACACAGTACCAAATGTTTTGAGGTATGTGTGTCCTGCAAATCAGGGAGTTTATCAGAGCTGTGTACTATGAATACTACTCACTTTCAGCACATTGAAAACCTGAAATCCCTTGTTACTGCAGCTCTGTTTTGCCCTCCTCTTTGTCATTTCTTCATGGTTCTGGGTATTTGTTTAGAAGCACACAAATGTGTCAGAATAACACGTTGCTCTTGAATTTTAGTCTCATCTGAATGTGTGATACTCTCAGTAAACAGGCAGCTTTCTTTATCTGTCTGACATGAAACAAACATTTAAAAATACCTTGTGAATATGTTGATTCATTCTTCTTATTATTTTCATTACCACTAACATAAACAAAGTTCTGTAAGAGGAAGGAGGTTTTTGTGGTTAATTGCAACGGTTAGATCTGTTATTGTGCCCACACATAAACAAAAGTCTCAAAAGTTGGAGTCTGATGCATAGTGACTGAGGTAAACGGATACGGTCACCTCTCTGCGATACTTCCTGTTGTGATGGTAAGATCTGCCATTTCTTGTTAACTGCTGAATTTTAGAAATTTAAAAATGAAAAACGATAATATTTCCTCCATGTTTTACACACAAAGTACAGGATTTTCCCGGTGAACCTTAGAGGGTAAAGGGTCCTGTCTAATGGTAGTAAATATAGCACCCCTGCTAATCAAGTTCCTCTTATCTTCATGCTCGACACTTAACACCGGTACCTGGGGAATCCAGACTGTGCACTGGGAATGTAATGTTAGCCACAGTTGATAGCCATTCTGCTGTAGTGTACCCCTTACGTCAAATGACAGACTTTTTTGTCATCAAAGTATGTATCTGCAATATTTAGCTTTTGTGCTTCTTTTATAACATTTTCAAAATCTAATGACGCAAACAAAGTCTTTACTAAACAAACTGTACATTGGGATGTAATTTGCAGCAACGTTTCTCTCTGTGATATCAAATATTTCTAGATGGAAGATACTTATATTGTTTTTTAGCTGCTCACTTTTTTCCTGTTAAGCAGCAGTGATCTACAAGGCTTCTTCAGTGCCAAGCTGCATTTTGTATGGAACTAACTTTTCCACAAGAGTGATTAATAATAAGCAGTGTTTACAATGAATTTAGCTGTAAGTACAGAAAGAGACTATTTTTCAGGATTAATTTCTTCACTGCTGCTTCACCATCCCTTCCTCATTCTCTAGATAGATGTATTATCCCAATGTTTGAATAAGCTAATTTCTGCATTCTTCTGAAAGTCTTTTCTCTATTAGGCCTCTTATAACACATCTTAGGCAGGCATCTTAATTACTAGATAGTGTTGGGCAATTAAATCGGCATTTGTCAGCCATGGAAATTATTTCTGAAAGTTATGAACATGATTTGGAAAACTCATATTTAAAAGCACACAACGGATTAAGTGTAATTTACAACCTCTTTACGGTCTTTTATGACTATGGCCTGTTATGCTTTGGTACTCATCTTAGTTTGTCTCTGTTCACTTGCATTAGGTTGCATTTACCTGCCATGGATTCTTGCTGTTAAAAGCTCATAAAGATAATCATCCCTGAAGCATTTTGAGAAAGGACTCTATTTTTTGCTTTGCTAGAGCCTGTGCTCACTATATTGTGAGCATACCATGTAACATGCAGTGTGGTTTAGTTTGTCTTCAGCTGACAGCATTACACTTCAAATATCACATTTTAAACTGAAAGTGTTTGAGATGTCGAGGTGACCAGCAGTTGTTCTCCCTTCACTCAACCATTTGAAAAAGTGGAAGCCATAACTGGGACCCAGTTATAACATTAAGTCAAACCGTCTAGTCAGGAAAAGCTCAAGTTTCATCTTTGAAATTGCTTTGGCATTCAGCGCCATGTAACATTGTGCCCCCATTTGTGCATCCTATCATTTTATTGCAGCTCTGCTTATATTAGCTTGTTGTGTTGGTCTCTGTTTGTAGCCTGGGGTTTGGTAGTCTTGTAATCACTGGCCTTTATTACAGAGCTCTTACATGAAGTGTAGGCATTTTGGAGATGAGGAGATGAAACAGTGGCAGCTCTAGAGGTGTTGTTTACTGGTGATGATGTGTCCCCAGACGGCTTTAGCCAGACAGCTTACATAATCCTGCTAATATCGGCTTCTTCCTGTTTTCATTGGAATGTCATTTAGTCCGTGTTTGCGCCTTCAAACTTCCTTATTCCTTTTCATAATCTCTCATCCTCTTTGCAATCTAAATATTTTCCTGTTTATTATTTTTTTATTTGCCTTTTTCTTCAGTGCTTGTCCATACTCTTTTTTTATTGTATCTTTTTTTAATCTGTTTCTTCCTCTCCGTGTATCAGGATATACAGTGAATCTGCATCTTTAGTTCTGTATAGTAATGGTAAGATAACAAACCCACAAATTGTCACATCCAATTCAATCTTCTTCCCCCCCCATAGCCCGACTCACAGTGCCGGGGCTTGTGTTGCATAATTGCATTAGTGCTCTCAGGCCAGTGGCTCTGCTCGTTAGTGGGTTTGTGATGCAATCTGCAGAACACACGGGCCTCTGTTGTTTGCAGTATGGGCAGTGAGTGGGCATGCAGGGTCATTGTATTGACCTTGCCTATCCATTTAGACAGCCAGAGGGAGGTCTACTAATGAGTGGCAAGGTTGAACAAACAGAGACTTCGCTGGAAGTGGTTGTTGTTCAACTAGTGGCAGTAATGGCGTGATGGGACAGTTTCATGGTGCTGATAAAATATTCCTTCATCAAACAACAAGTAGTGTTAAATTTGTGTGAAAGAAGTTTAAAACATTGCTTTGGCTGAATGATGACCTTATGTGTGACTTGTGGAAGAGCATGGCTTAAGCTCTTTACAAAGACGTGAACACCAAAACATCCAAATATGAGTGAATATTCCTGTTCAACATTTTTTGGCAAGTGTCCAGGGTATAAGCAGGATAATCATTCTGATGTGTGCATTAAAGGATTTTAACACTGCAGCTAAGAAGTACCCTCAGCAAGGATTTAAATGTCCTTAAGTCATTAAACACACCTTGATGTGGATTTCGAACTTAATGTCACACTCTCAAATGAATTTGATTTTACTGAACAATGAGACTATTGTGGTGGAATTTATTTATTTATATATTTATTTTTCTGACTTTTCCAGTGTAATTTTTCGTTGGACCATTCTGCCAAGATAGAGTTTTAAACAAAACATAGAGAAGAACTTGGTTTCATTTATTGTCTTGCTTGTATGTAAATAAACTTTCAACAAATTTACATGCTTATGGTCCAACATTGCCTATTTAGTATGACGTGCCGAACCTCTATCTGAAGTCATGCATTGTTAGGATGATTAGCTGATTGTCTCTTCATCTTGCAGTGGCTTCGAGTAAAACATTAATTGGATCAAGACTGTCTGCGTCTGATGATTTCCTGTGATTCAAACTTTAAAGTTCACTGTTTGAAATTTTAACTGTTAAACCCAAGATATTACAGTTATCCTTCTCCTTTACTGTTTTATTATAGTACTGAAATTATATACGGTTGAAATGTTTCCTTGATGTCCAACGTGAATACTTGAAATACTACAAATACTCGAAGCTGTAAAATGATGTCTCCACTTAAAGCACAATGGGTCATTCCTTATAGCTAGACGCTTACTTTGATTCCGAGCCTGTTTTTCTTGCCACAACCCTAAACTCCCCACATTTTACCACAAAAATGCACCACTAAAATAACTTGGCTCCAATTCAGTAATTAAGGAATGAAGTAATTCTAAATTCTGCCTTTTTTGGAGGAGTGACTCTCGCTGTCAGTTGGGTTTCAGGCTAGCCATGTCTCGACTGGGATTTATTGTTTGAACACCAGGGAAATTCTTTTTCCATTTTGAAAAGGGA